ATATGTGTATATATATATATTATATATATATATATATATATATATATATATAAAATCTATAGGGGAAGGAAAGAGGGGTAGGGGTCGTCCTCGAAAGGGTTGGAAAGAGGGGGTAAAGGAGGTTTTGTGGGTGAGGGGCTTGGACTTCCAGCAAGCGTGCATGAGCGTGTTAGATAGGAGTGAATGGAGACGAATGATACTTGGGACCTGACGATCTGTTGGAGTGTGAGCAGGGTAATATTTAGTGAAGGGATTCAGGGAAACCGGTTATTTTCATATAGTCGGACTTGAGTCCTGGAAATGGGAAGTACAATGCCTGCACTTTAAAGGAGGGGTTTGGGATATTGGCAGTTTGGAGGGATATGTTGTGTATCTCTATACGTATATGCTTCTAAACTGTTATATTCTGAGCACCTCTGCAAAAGCAGTGATAATGTGTGAGTGTGGTGAAAGTGTTGAATGATGATGAAAGTATTTTCTTTTTGGGGATTTTCTTTCTTTTTTGTGTCACCCTGTCTCGGTGGGAGACGACCGACTTGTTGAAAAAAAAAAAAAAGTATGTATATATATATATATTATATATATATATATATATATATATATATATATATATATATATATATATATATATATATATATATTATATAGTGGTGTGTGTGTGTATATATATATGTATATATATATATATATATATATATATATATGTATATATATATATATATATATATATATATATATATATATATATATATATATATATATATATATATATATGTCGTGCCGAATATGTAAAACTGGTCAATTAGCAAGAACTCATTTAAAATTAAGTCCTTTCTAAAATTTTCTCTTATACGTTTAAAGATATATTTTTTTCATTATTGTTAATGTAAAAATTTTTAATTTTGCACCAAAAGAATCTTAGAAAACTTACCTAACCTTATTATAACAAGAGCAATTTATTTTAGCCTAACCCAACTATATATATTTTAGATTTGTTTACAGTAATTTAATACTAAACAAACACAGTGAAATATATTTCTTTCGTTAGGTTCAGAATGATTTTGGCGAAATTATTGCATACACAAATTTTCACTTGTCCTATATGGCAAGATGAGCGTTGCTATTTAAGCCAAGATCGCAAGTTCTGCCTATTCGGCACGACATATATATGTATATATATATATATATATATATATATATATATATATATATATATATATATATATATATATATTATATTATATATATATATATATATATATATATATATATATTATATATATATATATATACATATATATGTATATATATACATACATATATATATATATATATATACATATATATGTATATATATACATACATATATATATATATATATATATATATATATATATATATATATATATATATATATACATATATATGTATATATATACATATACATACATATACATACATATATATACACACACACACACACACATGTATATTGCAAACAATCGCAGATGGGCCATCTTAATGTAAAATAATCCACGGGGGAGGGAAGAATCTCCAGCTCAATACTTTCACACTTTTCAGTGTGTCATCAGGAGCTATGTGATGTTTCTTCCCTCAGGGGAGGTTCCTTGATGCTGGTCAGGGGCTCTTGATCTAGGGAATTGGATCTGTGCTCCAGTTCTCTAAATTAAGCCTGAATACATTCCATCCCCCCTACATGTGCTGTATAATCCTATGGGTTTGGCACTCCCCCACGGTTGTAATAATTATAATATGTGATGCTTCAAGAGTAGCAGCAGGAGAAATGAGGGAAAGTTTTCTCAGGTAGGGTACCCTTCTAGACCTATAATTACTAGGCCTTCTAGACCTATAATTACTAGGTCAGCTAGACCTATAATTACTAGGTCAACTAGACCTATTATTACTAGGCCTTCTAGACCTATGATTACTAGGTCAACTAGACCTATAATTACTAGGTCAACTAGACCTATAATTATTAGGCCTACTAGACCTATAATTACTAGGTCAACTAGACCTATAATTACTAGGCCTTCTAGACCTATAATTACTAGGTCAACTAGACCTATAATTACTAGGCCTTCTAGACCTATAATTACTAGGCCTTCTAGACCTATAATTACTAGGCCAACTAGACCTATAATTACTAGGTCAACTAGACCTATAATTACTAGGCCTACTAGACCTATAATTGCTAGGCCTTCTAGACCTATAATTACTAGGTCAACTAGACCTATAATTACTAGGTCAACTAGACCTATAATTACTAGACCTTCTAGACCTATAATTTCTAGATCAACTAGACCTATAATTACTAGGTCAACTAGACCTATAATTACTAGGTCTACTAGACCTATAATTACTAGGCCTATTAGACCTATAATTACTAGGTCAACTAGACCTATAATTACTAGGTCAACTAGACCTTCTAGACCTATAATTTCTAGGTCAACTAGACCTATAATTACTAAGTCAACTAGACCTATAATTACTAGGTTTCCTATACCTATAATTACTAGGTCTACTAGACCTATAATTACTAGGTCAAGTAGACCTATAATTACTAGGTTTCCTATACCTATAATTACTAGGTCTACTAGCCCTATTATTACTAGGACTACTAGACCCATAATTACTAGACCTATAATTACTAGGTCTAGATCAATACTTACTAGGTCTACAAGACCTATAATTACTAGGTCTACTAGAAATGAAGGTGAGAATGATTGGCTCACTAGAATTCACCAGATGTTGCAGATGTCTAGTTCCCCCTGCAACATTTTTGCACAGGTGTTTTTTGCACAGGTGTTTTTCAAAATTGTTTTAGTAATTTATGGTTCATGACGCTATGCTTGAGTCATTTATTTTTTTTTGTCAATACATGAAGAACATTAATGAAACACAGGACATGTGACTAATTATTTTTTTTTATTTTGGCTTGCTCAGGAGCAACGTAAGTATGGGGCGGGGGGCGGTGATCCCCGATACTCTCTCCAGGTATGGTTGTGTAGTGTGACGGTGTGTGTGTGTGTGTGTGTGTGTGTGTGTGTGTGTGTGTGTGTGTGTGTGTGTGATGTGTGTGTGTATGTGTGTATGTGTGTGTGTGTGTGTGTGTGTGTGTGTGTGTGTGTGTGTGTGTGTGTGTGTGTGTATATGTGTGTGTGTGTGTGTGTGTGTGTGTGTACACTGAAAAACATTCATCTCATGGTGTGTATATGCTATGTTTGGTGTCGATATGTATTGTGTGGCTTGTGTGTTGTGGCGTGGTTGCTTCATACAGTGTTCAGTGATGTTTTATGTTGCTTGTCTTCTGCTCTTGTTCTTGATGTTTTTGCAACTATCTCTCTCTCTCTCTCTCTCTCTCTCTCTCTCTCTCTCTCTCTCTCTCTCTCTCTCTCTCTCTCTCTCTCTCTCTCTCTCTTTTCTCTCTCTCAACACAGGTTGATATTCCTAAGTTCTTTTATATATTCCAGTGGACACACTGAAACTTAATCCAGTGGACACTCTTCACCTTCAAATTTAATGTTTCACACATTGTCTTCTTTGAGTTACTAGGTTTCTCTTATTCTCCTTGACTTTGTATTTTGCCTCTTCTGATAAGTGTGGCAGTGTGTACCTTTGATATGTTTCGAGAGTTTTTTCTACTCCCACAGCCCAGCCCTGGGCCAGGCTTGTTTGGTTGTGGGGGTACTGGTTGTTGTGGTGGTGATGGTGCTGGTTGCTGTGGTTACGGTGTTGTCGAATTTTAATCATAATTTACGGGGTTGAGTTCCGGCCAGCTCCTGGGTCTTTGTAAGGGTGTTGAGCTACAGCTTCTGTGCTTTTACTTTTGAGGATATCTCTACAGAGCTTTGATTGGACCCGGTTTTCAGTATTTGCCTGGTGGTACTGGTTATTGTGGTGGGTGGTGGTAGTTGTGGTTGCTTTAACAATGTATGCTATCTGCTCCCCACAACAATAAACTTTTGTACACCTCAAAATCTTTTGATTGATATAAAACAAATCCTCTGTTTTAGCATCACTTTTCAAACACATGAATTACTCTCAAACAGCATCTCACACACACTTACACACACAGGGGCCAGGAGCTAGGACTCGACCCTTGCAACCTCAACTAGGTGAGTAGACACACACACACACACACACACACACACAGACATCACTTTCTTACAATATCATTTTCAACCATTTCCATTAATTTGTAACCCAGCTCCTCCCTTGTGTTACCATGAACCATGCTCACAGCTGGGCAGTGATTCGAACCAGTGACAAGCCAGTCATGAAACCAGCAGGTTGGTTCTCTAACCACTATAGCATATAGAAATATGTATATCTAGTTTAATGAGTCATAATTGGCCAGGTAAAGCAGTTAGAACACTGGTCTGCTAGTGTTAACACTGGAGCAACACTGTTTTGTATCTTGCCCGTCCATAAGAGAGATTGCTTTTTGGTAATGCATGGAAGAGGTTGAGTTGCAAGTTAAAGGCAGTGTTAGAAATTTATGTTATTGTAAGAATGTGATTTGCTTGTGTGTTTGAAAGTGATGTGTGCATTTAAAAGTAAGGCCAATGTGAGTGATGCCTCTTTTTGTTTTAAGATTACAGGGGTTCAAATTCTGCCCATTCCAATGGTTGTTTTCAGTCTTAATATGATTTCACAAGTCAATTTCACAAGTCACTGCTAAAATCATTCTCTCCTTCCCCAGCAGAACTAGAGGGTCGTCGACCAGTTCCAGCACCTCGACGGAGCCTGGGATCAACCAGCTCCTCAGTTGGGGATTCAGCAAACATGGAATGTACCACCACAGCTGGAACAAGCACTGCCCTCCACAGCAAATACTCCCTGCACCATGAACAACTGGTTCAGAATGGCAGTTCTTCAGTAGATGTGCTGGAAACTCTTCATGCTCGCAAGAGCACCCCGGTGCCCATAGATTCTTGCTGTTCCTCTTTTGACTCTTGTACCACCGATAACTCTGCTTTTATTATGGGAAATGAGAATAAAGCTTCGAAACATTCCAATACAGAGTTTGGTGTGGACCTTTATTGTGATGAAGAGGGAAGTGTTTGTTCAGAGCTGGGTGAGGTTCCAGTAGGCTCCCAGGAGGATGTGGCCAGTTTGGCCTCTTGTGTGGCCACTGACAGGGACACTTCTGACTTGGCCAGCTTTGACCTGCCTCACACTTACGACCGTGACTCTGGCTCTTCACAGTCATCGTCGCTGGTGCCATGGCAAGGTTCAGCTGAGTATCTGCAGGAGGAAGAAACACACCACCACCAACATAGCTTGACTGACTTAGTGCCTGAGGACACCATGATGGATCGTGTTTTGCGTTGCTTCGAGGCCATGCAAGCCCTGCAATCATGTGATTCACTCATACCCAGCTGGCAGGAGTGCCAGAGTGAGGATGCCACAATCAAGCTGGAGGAAGAGCAGTTCATCCAGAACTACTGGGAACACCATCCAGGCACCGACAACTGGCGCCCTGATCTCTTCTTCTGTGACTTTTCACTAGAGGAAGAGCTGTTCCCAGAGTCTGGGGAGGGTAATGTGAGATCTGCTGCTGACCACCACCATCTGTGTCACACCCTCTCCTTGTCCACCATCAATGTCTCGTCTCATATGTCCCCAAGACTATTTTCCTCAGAGCCTGTCATCATGCAAGGCCTGTATGCTGCCCGGCGTGTTGACATACCTCCATCCCTCTCTTCATCCCCTGAGACTGAGTACATTATTCTCACTCCTCCAGATGAGTTCCGCGAGGAGTGGGATTCCCGGTGGATGCCAGGGGTTGTAGGAAACTCTGACACAGAGGCTGGGATGGGAGAGTTTCGTCTGGTGACAGAATGTGAGTACCGACGGAGTGTGAAGTGTGGTGGTGCAGGGGTCACAAGAGTGCATCTGGAGGAGATGGTGAAGGACCCAGTGGACAGTGATCAGGCTCGAGGTGGATCCCAGAACACCACACCAGAGTGTTCTCTCAGTGACCAAGATCACCCTTCCCGTGGCCTCTACCTCAGTGACCTGGGTCACCCCTCTCGTGGTCTCTACCTCAGGAGTCTCCTCTCGCAACACAACACTAAACCTTCATGCCAGTCGACCACCTCCTCGCATCAGTCTGTTGCTTCTTCACACTGCTCACCAATTTCTTCAAAGCCCTCAGCTACTTCAAATCAGTCAGTCACTTCCCCAAACTGGTCAGCCAGTGCCTCACACCAGTCATCTGCATCTTCTCAACAGTCAGCTGCTTCCTCCCACCACTCAGCTGCTTCTTCCCACCAGTCTACTACTTCCTCACACCAGCCATCAACCACAGCCTCACACAAGCCAACTAACTTGCTACACCAGTCAACCAATTTCACATATTCAACCAGTTCTCCTTACCATTCAACCAACTTTAAACATCAGTCAACTGGTTCTTCAAGCCAGTCCACTAATTTTTTGCTAAAGTCATCTAATGCTTCAAGTTTTCCAACCACTCTCTCATATCAGTCAACTAATTCCAGCCATGCATCACCCAAGCCTTCTCTCCAACTACCCAGTGTCTTGCATCAGTCAGCCAGTAACTCACAACAAATAAAGTCTGATGTAGAGTCACTTAACAATAAGGAGAGGACTAGTGATAATGACTCAAGAGAGGGAGAAACTCCAAAAAATATTAAAACTGACTCTAGCACATCAACAAGTGATACTCTTTATAATCATGTAGGGAAAACTAATGCTAATAAATGCATTTTTGAAATCAGCTGTAACAATATTAGGTTTGAGGGAGAGATCTCAGAAAACCCATCGACACGAAAGAAAACAGAAATGTCAGTCGAATTGTCATATTCTCAAGCCGGAGAAGACGAGGCTAATGCTGTAGCTGGCGTGGGTATGGAGACAACAGAGGCCTGGAAAGTTAGTGTGACAGAGGAATCACCCTTAGAGAGTGACAGTGGCAGCACAGACACCAGAGGATCTCCGCCAGTTGTCAACTACACCACACATCCATTATCTCCTAACATTCCTAAGACCAATTTAAATGTAATGGAGCAGACCACACCATTAGCTATAACAAGTGAAAATCAAGTAAACGTCCAAGTGCCTCTACACTCCTACAACAGTGACTCCACCAGGGGTAAATCCAATTTTCTGTCGACAAAGAATGAAAGCCATGTTCTTTTACACAAAATGTACCCTGACTCTGATAGTGAGAGTGATGACAGTGAACCTCCCATAGTGTTGGGTGCTGACACTGATGGACTCTCTCTTAATTCTGAAAGAAGTGAAGAGGTTGAGTTGTTCTTGAATAATCCAGAATCTATGGTAATAAGTCAAATAAATATGGATCTTTTTAACAATACAAAAACAGATGACAAGAGCACAGAGAACTCCAGTATCAGTGCATTCAGTACAGATAATACAGCTCCATTTAGACTGGATTTTAAAGCACCAGCTACTGCAGTTTCTGTTTCAAACTCTTGGGAAGCTGATGAACAAGAGGTGGGTGATGGCTCAGCTGTGGCTGCTGAGCTGCAGGGTCTAGAGGGTGAACAGTTTGTAGAGTTCCTGGCAACCATGGTGAGTGAACACATTAACCACCCCTTGGAACATGACCCTCACACTAAGGAACCCTCCATCAGTACATACAACCTGGGAAACTTTGCTCAGACCTGCCCGTATGCTGCTTCTGGCGATAGCTCTGCAACCACCCCCTTGATAGGTGACACTGGGGCTGCTACTCTCTCCAGATCTGACACTGCTGCCACCCACTCCAAAGGTGACACTGCGTCTACTCGCTCCAGATCCAACACTGCTACCACCCACTGTAAAGGTGACACTTCTGTTACTCACTCCAGATCCATCACTGCTGCCACTCACTCCAAAAAAGAGACTGCCACCACTCACTCCATGGGCAGCCCTTCCACCAGCCAGCAAAAGGACATGAGAGAATCCTGCTGCCAGGAATACAGCTCCTCTTCCGGTGAGCTGCATGTAATAGTAATAGTAACAACACAACGTAATAACTGTAGCTGAAGTAACTATAGTTAGCAGCTTTCTTGTGTGATGCACTGCAGTTGAGCCCATTGTTTACCACTAGACAGGGGCCAGGCTACCCCATGATGTGACTGACTTGTACACTTACATGCCTCATTTGAGAATAAAAAAAAAAGTCACAATATCGTGGCTGGAACAACTCGCCAAAAATCTGACGACATTTTCATTAAATATCGAGCCATTGTTAACTCATATTGTCTTTAGGCCCTTCTCTACTTCTCTCTTCCTAGTTGTGATTTGACAGTGGTCCAAGACCAACATCCTGAGCATCCTCTCCTAAGTGCAGGTTTTCAGCGACATGCCTTAGTTGACTGGTCATTTGAATAAGTTGTCTTGCCTACCCTTGATTGTTGATAATAATAATAATAATAATAATATTTATTTTACAAGTACATGATACAACTTATACAGACCATAGCTGTGCAGAACATTTCGGGCAACTTAGGTAAATTTTGTCCCCAAGTATGTGACCCAGACCAGTAAGGTACCTATTTACTGCCAGGTGAAAAGGGACAGCAGGTGTCTTAAGGAAACACACCTCTAATGTTACCACCTTTACCGGGGATCAAACTATGAGCATTCATTGTGTGAGCTGAGTGTGCTACCAACCGAGCTACAGGATAGTTAAGTGTAACAGTTATTATATTAACTCTTATGTAGTAATCTAGCTGAAGAAGTGTATTTAACAGTGTTGGTGGAACTTAGTAGTTAGGAAAGAATGGTAATGTTAAGGCAGTGTTAGTTATCTAGTGTGTGTATGTCTTAGTAGTGCTAGAGCAATATTAGTAACTTAGAGCAGACATTAATACTGACGATATTTCGTGTTTTAAAGAAAATTAAGGCAGCTGCAAGGTTTTGTTTTGTTAGTGACTGTTAACGATACTCACTTAGGAGTATACTGCAGCTGATGGTACATGTTTATTGTCAAGGACTCTAGATGTTGGTGTAGCCAGGTAGTACTCTTAGATGCTGGTATAGGGAGGTAGTACTCTAGATGCTTGGTGTAGTAAGGTAGTACTCTAGATGCTGATGTAGTGAGGTAGTACTCTAGATGCTGGTATAGTGAGGTATTACTCTAGATGCTGGTATAGTGAGGTAGTACTCTTGATGCTAGTGTAGTGAGGTAGTACTTTAGATGCTGGTATAGTGAGGTAGTTCTCTAGATGCTAGTGTAGTGAGGCATGACTCTTATTTCCGCATCCATGACTCTTATTTCCACGACCCTTCAAGAGGGAGGAGGGCGCCTTGCTGAAAGTGAAGACCTTTTGTCCCAAGAAATGATAGCTGACCGCCTCTTCCTTGGCATCCAGCCCAACTGCCTTCCATTCCCCCAGGTGCTGAATGGTGCACCTCCTATGGGTTTAGCTCTTCTCCACAAATAGTTTGCTTTGCCTTTTGCCTGGGCTGCCCTCTCACCAAGTTACCCATATATATCCTGCCATAGCATGGGCTGCCTACCACCAACCAGGATAATAAATATTTGCCACCCAGAGTATGGGTGGATTTTTCTGAACATTTCTTTTAATGTGTGAAGCTTCAGGGAGTTAAAGTAAGCTGGTCTCTCAGTTGTAAATGTTATTTATTACACTGGAGTATAAACTTTGTAGAGTATAGAAAAAAATAAAGCAGAGATGTTAACAAAAATTTATTTATAGCTGTTATATGTTGGGAGTTATAATTTGGGCTTGTTACTGGATCATTGGTGGGAACTGTGGTAAGTGGAGGGAGGAATGGTGGTGATGATAGGTATAGGAATAGTGGTGGTTGTGGTGGCAGCTGTTAGGAATGGTAAAGGAGGGAAAGTCTGTGTTTATCTACGCTGTAAACAAAAGTTTAAACTTTTACAATTATTTTATGAAGTAAATTATGTAGATGTGAAGGTAGGATAACCCAATAAAGTCAAACTTTGTGAGCTAGTTCAACTGGGGTACACTGGTAGATG